GATGCAGTATCCGCTGCTCACTGCACTCACTTGCAGTGCACCAAATACATCCTTGAATACGAAAAAAAAAAGTAAATTACTGTACTGTACTGTGCTAAAATACATTGGCACCCTGAGATGCAGACGTTATTGGTGCTTGAACTTCGTCTCTACGTCAGAACGTCCGCATGTTGGATCAAGTTTTCCGACTTCAATGGGAACACTTTCAATTGATTCTCCTGTTCATGAAAAATTAGAAAAAAGTCCCCCAAAAATTGCAAATTATACCTCAACTGTAGATAGCAAAAAAAGCCGAAAAACTTTTCAGAGGATTTTAAAAATAGTCCGATTTTTTGATATGCAAAAAACCCAGAAAGCAAAGAAGCACAAGTCTCCCTATACAAGACTGTGCATATAGGCGAGCGGGCACAAAATAAGCCTGTTTTGGATTATGGATTCGAGTGAATTTAAAATATTTATTTTTATATTTTGATTATATAAATAGAGTAGCAGAATTCGTTCAAGGTGTATACATTTTTTTCATATTTCTAGAAATTCTGTCAGTGTCCGCATCTCAAGACGTCGCCCGAATGTCAGGTCAGATTTTTTTTACTTCCAAGTGTCCCTGAGTCAAATCGTCCGCATCTCGGGGTCCCAATGTAATTGCAATACGAATAAGGTCTTCGAAATTTTAGTGTACAGTGCAAAATTTGTCATCCGAGTATCAGATCATCAGTGGACTCGCTCTACAAGTATCAAGGGACAAAACCATCAATTTTTAAGAAGAGAAGTTCGTTGTAAAGAAGTTTTTCATACATCAAGACCCGTTTTTGTCCTCTACTTTAAAGAATGAAAGGTTTCCCGTAATCCGCTCAACTTTAATCCGGGAAAAGAAATTCTCTGACCAATAATCCATGCCTCTACGCTAACCACTTCTGAAATTAAAAACGAAACAAAAACCGTAATGCAATCATTTTTGAATTGGTAAAATTTCAAGAGTGCCGTTTCTTTTCTCAACACCCGTTAAATTTTTTCAACGATCAGTTCGTTGCTGACGCAAAAATATTTTTCAAAGGTTCCATTACTGAAAAGATTACCGTATACTCACAAGTTTTTCGTTGTAACCCACGGGTTTGACTTTCTCGAGACAGGCATTAAGAGTTTTCTTTGAGAATATAGTCCGCCAGGATCTCGGGGCTGTTCCAAGCGCAGCGAATTTGGGAGGCAACAAGTGGAAAAACTTTTTCCAAATGGAACCAACATTTTCTTTCGGGCAACCTTCCAAGTACTCCAGAATTTCTTCCATGAACAACCTGCAACATGAAATCAAACGAAAGATGATCAAATTTCAAATAATTCTCTGGTCAAAAACAGAAAACTAGACTTCAAATCGTATTAAGCATCACGATCCCTTCAACGGCGTTCTTCTCAATTTCATTTTCGGATACCGTACTGATTTAGGCGAGTTTCCGAATTCAAATTGCATGAAAGACAATAGGGTCCTCCGAAGTAACTTATGAAAAAAAAAAAATTTGCGAATTTCAATACATGCTAAGAAATGAGGCAATTTTCGACTGAGAATTCCGTTATTCATCGCAAAATGCTATCTTCGGCATGAAATCTGTAGCACGGTTACTTCGAAAAGTCGATGGTCAATGAATTCCTGGTTTAAACGGTAAATTTCCCGCTTGACGAACGACTTCGACTTGTATTTCCTCAATCTTTTTTCCCCGGCTTAAGTTTCATCCTGAAATAAAAAAAAAAGTGCTTTCTATTGCCGCATCATGTTCAACAGCAGTTTTCGCAATACTGTAAATCCTGTAAAGATTCACGTTTCGATTCGTGAAGTAGGTTCAGTGGCGTCAACAACTACATTAAAACCGGTTTCCTCGGTGATAAAAGTCAGTTCAAACACGCACCTGAAGTTGATATCAAAACACAATACAATTAATATCTGTCATATTTTTATATCATAATACCATACACGTTTCTTCAGGAATCGGTGATTTCAATCAAGAAATCATTTCCAACAACAGCTTTCACATCAAAGAATGACAGGATTTACCTTCCGATTTGCAAGGTAGGTTCAGTGGCGTAAATAGCTCCGGAAAAACCTGTTCCCTCGGTAATAAAAGGCAGTGCAAGCATGCACATGAAGTTTGAGATCAAAATGGCATTGATTTGCGAAGGCAGCACTACGCCCTTCATGGTTGGCACGCCGAATTCCGGCTCTCCGTCGACGAACACCCTCCCACAACATTCTTTGAACTCCTGAAACAGAAATTACAGGAACACATCAACCTCGGGAGCCAAAAAAAAATTTAAATAAATACAACAAGACATACGGTGAAAAGGTTTTCTCCATCTGGAAGTCTGGGGGTCCAAGATGGAAGCGACTCGAGTCGTTTGTCGGGGATCAACGGAATCGGCAAGAAGTGCTGAAGGGATTTGACGTCCAAAGCACAGTCCAGCAAAATATTTGCACCATGGTAAGACAGCAACAAACAGGGTCTCGAGGTGTCTTCGCTGAGGCACACCACTTTCATTTCTGGAAACTTACAACAGAAACGTCTCATATTCCGCTAACAAGCATCGAACAAAGCGTTTATTGAATTCTACCAACCCAGAAAAGAAAGAAAACACAGTAGCCATTCATGAATATCATTTTGCATTTCCAAAAACTTTCGTGAAAAAAGCGAACAAAAAACAAAACATAATCCGTGATATTTGGCTCAAGATCAGAATTCTTTCTTACACATACTGTTGAATCGGAAAATAGGTTTCAGATAAAATTAAACTGAATTCATTGTTTAAATTGAAATAAATTTCATTTATCCACCACCGACCTGTATTCTCTTGCATTGCTGCTTTTGGCGCTATTTGGACACGAAATTGAAATTAATATAATTCGAAAAGGTCTTTGATTCGCAAATAAACTGCATACATGCTTCTGATCTTATGAAATCTCCACAAAATTTCCATCAAGAATCCAGCTTGTAAGACAATGCATTTTCATATACGGTACTGCATTTTGAATTTTTCGAGGAGATTAAATTGAAAACTGGGGCATAAGCAGAATGAGCAAACTTTTTCGATCCCATGAAATGGAATGAAATTTCTCCTTCCGAAGTATGATAATCGCAAAGGACTTCAGTTTTATACACGACTGTAAACATCATCTCCTGTTATCATGATCGCAAGGAAAATAGCACACTTCTAAGAGACTTCTCATATTTTCATCAGAGAAAGCTAAAATTCATCTGAAATCTTGAGCAAAATTCACGGACCCATTCAAACGATCAAAAGATAAAATCATCATGATTCATCGTCATCGTCGTCATCATCATCTTGAAGCATTTCTGCCTGAGCACCCACAGACACAGCGACGTTCAAATCCACTTCTCCAGCTGAAGCTTCATCTTCGTTACTTCCGATGCGTCCTTCCTCAGCCAACAGTCGATCTCGAATGAGTTCCGCAATGGCTCGTTGTGTTTGTCGCTCGAGCTTCTCCAGCTTCTTGGCAACGTCTCGTTTCAGGTCCCAGTCAGGTTTCCGAGGTGCAAGACTAGTCAAATCCACTTGTTCCATCACATGCCTCGCTTTACCGGCCTCCACCTGATCCTCAACCTCTTCTATGATTTCCGCCGGCTTCACTTTCGGCGCACTCGAATCCTTGAGGCTCTCGTCAATCGGACGATAACTCCGAAACATGGGGCTGATGAAAAAAAATGTCCACGTGATTTTCGAAAAATACATACTGTTCTGTAGAATATTGTCACAACGAACTTTTGGGAACTTGAGAAAAATTTTTTTTAATGATTACTTGATGCAAGAAGATTACAAAAATTATGTCCAGAAAATCTTTTCACAGGATTTGACACAGGCTTTCACAGGATCCAGGATTTGAGAAAAGATTGTTACATTAAAAATTGTTTCAATGATATTTTTTGTGAAGCCATTTCAATGTACCGTACACTATAAATTTGTGGTGCGTACGGACAGCCAAGTAGTGTATTCAGACAACCGGTTTTTCATAGAATTTCAATCCCTAGCTTTTCAATATCGAAAAAAGCTCGTTGGCAAGTCCTAAGAGTACTAAAACGTGAACCACTTCAAAGATAAGGACGTCTCCTTGAACACACTTTTATTGAAAGAATAATTACCGAACATTTCGTAAAAATTTATTACCTCGGCAGTGGAGCAGGTTCAGCTTTATTTTCGCCATCACCGGTTTTATCCTTTTTCCTCTTGAGACTCAACAGCCTCTCTTTTCTCTTAACGGCTTCATCCTGAAGCCTCCCAATATCCTCGTCGTTCATCACCATAAATTCCTCGACTTTTTTTCCTGTTAGACAAAAAGACACGCGCAGTGAATATTAATTCTGAAAAAGCGTATACAGTCAACGAACGAATACAGTTTTAGAAAAACAGGAAATCGCATCTTCTTCAGACAGACTGCCCGGATCGAATCGGCTCTTCCGTTACCAATCAACAACATTCGTTGATCGCTCGCACAAAATTCATGCACTCTAAAAACCGGAAGCGACGCACATGCCCACGCATAATCAACATTACAAGTCCTCGAAACAATAAGCGTATACACAAATCAACACTGAAGTCACAATTTTTGCCTGCTTCTGTTCACGTCTCTCACGGCTTTCTCTAGCTGGAATTGTCGGTGATCGACACGCGTCAGAAAATTTTGTCTTTCCACGAAGCTGGAAAAAAAAAATGATGAAAACGCGTAAGAACAGGTGGATTTCAGTAATCTCGATCAGCAAAATTAATGCATGGTTTTACCACAATGGAGCGAAGACATTAAAAATCAGATATTAAAATATTGCAATAAATTTCAAAATAGCCAGACCAAAACCAGGAGGTTTCAAAAGAGCAAGGACGAAGACTATAAAATTCGAAAAAGAGCCCGCATCAAAAATTAAACCTCAAATTTAAACAACTGCTCTTTTGCGCACTAGCTTTCGTATGCAGTTCGCCAACTAAATCATGTACTGTACTTCAATAGTGCAACCTAGCAAAACATCTTGAAGAGGAAAAATAAGAGAAAAACTAATGACCTGCTCCTAGATTCGGCATGTTGTTGCAAATTCTCCTCAATCCCTTCTTGTTTCTTGAACGAATTCCAATCCTGTTTCGACTGCTCTAAAATGGTAGGCTTTCTTCCAGCGGAAAGGAGCTTCGAAATTCCTCCACCAGACATAAAACCCCGACCTCGGCCACGTCCTCCCGCAGAACCTTCAAGTAAGTCTCGCATTCATGAAATTGTACAATTCGACTGCAAACTGATCAACTGACCTATAATAGAACATCGGACTGGAGGAATCACTGGAGTTTTCGGAGTAGTAGTGGATTCCGACGCACTAAAAGCATTCAATGGTTTTTAATCATGAACCAACACATGGAATAACAAAAATCTCACTTCGGAGTAACAACGGAAGAAGTGGCCGAACTCCGCGAGATTTTTGAGGTAGTTTCCAAAGCAGTCGGATCACCTGCGTAAAAAAAATGTTTCATGGAAGAGGTCAACAAATAAAATATAGGGAAGAAAAATTACTTCGCAAGCCGTAGCCTTTGACCCCTTCTCTTGCTATCAAATTCTTCTCATCACTGGAATCGAGTGAAGCACGAGTCCGCTTTTTCGAGGAAACGTGATCTTCGTCGGACTTTTTTCGACGCTTCCGGCTTTCCACAGATCTTTCTCCTTCATCGTTACTGGCATCTGATCCCGATTCCTCCTCACTTCCGCTTTCCTTTGCTTTCACTGATAAATCATAGAGCAACGATGTAATGAAGGCGTGATCTTCTTGATAAAGAAATCCATTCCGAAAATGCCATCACTCACCAGGAACATAATCCTCATCACCACTGTCATCGGAATCACCATTTATTTTTGATTCACTCATATCTACAGAAAAGGACCAACCCTCAACATTATCGAACACGAGGTATTCGGAACATTTCGTTGAAGTTATCATTTTCCTTTTTTTCACTTCTTTTTCTGTACGCTCACGCTTTCAACACAGGGAAGTTCGCAGATCAAGTACCGAGTGATGCACTCGGAATATATTGCTTGAGAACTGGAACAAGAACACACTATTTTTTCTTTCGAAATTTGGTCCCCAACGGCATGGAAACAATAATGCAGATTTCACGACGATGCTGAACTTGTGGCACTCTTCTCCTTGTTCATCTGAAAAAGAAATCAACCGCTATACGAAAGGCAATCCGAAACACATTCATTTCCGCAATCGTCGGGATATTTTTCCAGACGATACCGAAACGAGGAGGGAGAAAACTACTCACCCCATGGGGTTTATCACCACAGACCCAGGCAACGAGACAAAATCCACAGGCACTGATTTTTCGCAGTCCGGGGATCGAATGCCGTTCGATGCTACATTCGAAGATGGCTGACTTTTCTTTGAAAAACGAAAGGATCGGAGTTTTCCCCGGTCTTTGACATCATCCCGCGAAGGTGACAAGTCAGACTTCTTGGGATCAATCGGTCTCTCGTTTTCTATACGCTTCAGCAACTCTTTACCAACATCTGCAAGTTTAAACATAATACAGAACTTGGTAAAAATGTCGTTATACGGAGAAAATAGTTGCACACAAGAGTTCATTCCTATCACAAAAATGGTTCCAACCAGAAAATTTTCCCTCACCGGTCAGAGTAAATTTGCGACCCAAGCTGAGTAGAGAAGAGATGACGCTGTTCCCCGGGGAAGGTTCATCCGATAAGTACCGAATGCCATGAGCTTGAAGAATCTGCAAACCGTCTTCCGTTTTATCATGACTATGTCTTATCTTCCAGTCCTAAAACGACAGAAAGTGTCACCAATGCTACAAAAGGGAAAAACGTGACGGTAAACACGACATGAATTCAAATGTTGAAGTCTCATCAGTGAGTTTGGTCCATTGATTCAACGACCAGTCCATGGTTCGAGCTTCTTCAATATTGCACCGAATATGCTTACATCTGTGACTAGCAAAAAGCGCTTGGCACGATTTGTAAGGGGTGCGGTAAAAATACAACGGTTTTGATTCAAATTTCCTATCAGAAATCAGTGGATTCTTTTCGCTTTACAATTTTGATGCATCAAAAACATTTTTAGCAAACCAACCTGAAGCAGCTTCAGCATCGATCGGTCATTTGACTTAATTGCCGTGTCCCAAGGAGTCAAACCGCGTTCGTTGACAACTTCCAAATCTCCACCGGAACCGGCATGAAGCAGCATTTTCACGATTGACTGATGACCGCGTTCCACTGCCACGTGCAATGGGGTCATTTTAGCCTAAAATAGAAAAACTCAGAATGAAAAAAGAACTAAAATGAGAGGTCAAAACACGCCTCAAGTTGAGAAAATACAGATCTTGTGTAGAAAATGTTTGTGTGATTCTATGAAAATTCAACGCCCGGTGCCTCGAACTACACAATTTTCTTCATCAGATATGTACCGTATGAATTATTGTAATCTGCAGATGAAGTCTGTATATTCAAACGAAGTTTAATTGAAGCTTGCCAAGCGTCAGGTGTTTGATTTCGATATCTAAGCAACTAAGTCAAACACGGAATTGAGAAGTATTGTACCAGTAAGATTATATGTGTCACAATCGTGATATGTCACGTAAGTCGGTCAACGAGCTTTAATTAACTTACCTCAAACGAAACAAAGTCCTTGAACAAAGTAATGCCGAAAATAAATCAAGATCATGATCCAAACGCCAAATTGATGCAATACAGTACTGTACTTCGTTCTCCAAAGTTTGAATTCGCTTCCTAAAATGTGACAAATTTCTTAACGCCTGGTTTTCACCGTTTCGCCCAAGTTAGATTTGGTAAAAATTCAAATGTTGAAGACTCATCAGTGAGTTTGGTCCATTGATTCAACGACCACTCCATGGTTCGAGCTTCTTCAATATTGCACCGAATATGCTTACATCTATACCAAGCATGAAGCGCTCGGTAAGATTTGTAAGGGGTGCGATAAAAAAACGAACTTGAAGATTTCGATCAAATGAAAGAACATTTATATTCACAATCTGGGATGTCCGGCAAATTAAAAGTGAATTTTGCTCAGTTCATCGTATGTCGTGCCAAGCCTTGGAGTTAGCTATCTTCAGAAATGGCTTGTCATCACTTCGATCTTAAATTTCTCTACCTGAATGGTCCAGCAAGAATCGACAGAATACCCGGCGTCGGTTCAATTTGAAGTGGGGTGTTTCGTACTTCGTTTTCTCAGAAATATTAAAACAAAACTGACACAGAACTTACATTATCACAATTTGAAGTATTAGCACGCTTTTTCAGCATAAGTTCGACGATTCCTCGCTGACCTTCGGCAGCGGCAACGTGAAGAGGTGTCTCCCCGAACTCATTCCGAGCGTTCAGATCACAGCCGAAATTCAACAACAAATTGACTAAATCCTCGCGGCCGTTCCGGCAAACCACGAAAAAAGCCTCGCGGCCAATCTGTAATCATACAAGAAAAGTCTCTTCATAACACACTCAGGACTCTGGAAATGTAAATTATCGCATCTGCGCGATTACAGTCCAGACCCTGGTTTTCTCCAGCCACGGGAAGAAATAAAACTGCAGACCAAAGGAAATTTTGTAATTTTTCATAACAGTGAAGAGCAACCAATTTTCGCTGCGTCTCGTGGCAGGACTATTTCTTTACACCATCATTAACTCAATCGGCATTATACACAGCATAATGCGAGTAGTCAAGCAAAATTTCGAGGTAGCTCAGTATGTACAAATAATTAGACCATTTATTCCCCGAAAATCGAATTTAGAAGTTCCATTCGTCAAAAATTGCTCATCCCTGACCAATTTTCAAATTCCTCAAAATCGAACATATGTACAGCACTTATGGAAATACTGTATCTCACAATATTTTGACTCATACATTTAAAGAGTAAAATAGACCCGAGTGTCATTCCAGTCGAAAAAATAATACCAACTTTAACGTTCGGCTAACCCCTCTCAAAGCTACTGTACTTTCCAGTTATTGCGTCTACCTTAGAATATCCGCCGCACTCGAGTTTTCAGGACGTTTAGGGGATAAACGAACGTGTGGCCTATCTAGCATAAAATGGTAGTGAAAAATACATACGGGCCCGATACTGGACGCCCTTCCTCTATGCAATGCATCCCTCACCTCTACCAATGACCCCGATTCCACCAGAGCCAGGAAATTCCTTTCGCTGTCAACTCGCTTTCTCTACACAGTAACACAAAATAACGTTCAAATTCGAGAAAAGGAACTTCAAGATGAAAAGAAAACTCACTTGTTTAGCTGAGATCTTCCTTCTCACATTGGAATGAAGGTCCTGGTCAACATCCTCGGGGAAGGAATCTTTGTCGCAAGGAAAACCGCTACTTTTCTCTTGCGAATCACTGCCATCAACGGAAACGACCTGAGAACGCTTTCCTAATCTAAAATTATGAAGCGAAGATTTCGCCATCTCCTACACGAGAAAAAAAAAACAACACTCGTGTTCATTACGAAACGAGGAAAGGTCGATGCAGAATCTTGAGCTGAATAATGACTTGGCCAATAACGAACTACTGTACATGTGTCAGAAATTCGAGAACAAATTCTGTCGCTATTCTCACCACAGGGGTTTTGTAACCTGCAAATTTTGAGGCGTATTCGGAAGTTGCGAATTGCAGAATATCATACCTGGGGAAATTGAGGAATTGAATTGAGTAAATGCGTGAACGAATATTCATAGTTTTTCACGATGAATTACGATATCGTTCCTCACCAGACAACACGTTAAATAGCTTTATCCGCACTTCCGGGCTTATTATTGGGGTACGACCTATTTTTTTCTCATAGGTATCATTAAATTTTGGTAGGAACCAAAGTTTAACATTGAAATTTCCATATTTCCGGGGAAGCATAGAAACAGAAGAGGCCTCAAGAGATGTAAAATTTCGGCCTTATTTTTGCAGATGCGATTGACATTTACGGTTCATTAAATTTTTCAAGTTGGGCCACATGTTCGTCGACAGGCTGTGCCATTATTTCGGTGCTCTCCTTCTCTTAGTGTGCCTGTTAAAGGTCGACCTGAAGAGAGTAAAGTAGGGAAGCGCGTTTAATCAGCTGCTCGCTCCTTTTACTCGCACACATCTGAGTTTAAAATTTTACCTTTTTCTTCAGTGCGTGTTCCCTCACGCATTGCGTGCAGACAGAGGAGGCATTATTACATTTTTAGATCAATACCTCCGCAATCTCTTTTTTCCACAGGGAACATTGTTTAATTTGTGTATTCCCCAGTTCCGATGATCAGCAGAAGCAGGTACGGAGGGGACGGTCCAGGAACGAAGCCCGGCGGTCGACCAAACCTGTACTATTAGAGCAGCTGAAAGTCCTGCCATAAAGCGGCTTGAACCGCGTACTTCATGCCCCATTGCTTGGTGAGCAGCGGATCAAGGATTCCGGCTTCAACTGCGTCCAACAGTGGCGAGTCGTTTTCCCCCTGAAACAAAAGAAAAAGTTACTTCCTGCAACATACTGACGAAAACTTCCAAGTTCAAATGATTATCTATTCCAGTGTGGCGTACTATATCGAAGAAACGGGTCAACCAATAAATGCAAGGCTTTACTGAATGACTCATTAGCTCCACTCCACGAGAAAGTACAACTGATTGATAATGCAAAGCTAACACTATACGTATGGTATGGATAATCCGTTTCTTCGTACATTATAGAATAAATGACTGAATATATACGAGGTTTGTCCGTCTTGAACGCTGCTTCTCGAGTAGGTATACCTGTAAAGAAATGTATGATGCAGAACAATGTCCTAAGGTTCTGGGAACTTTTTCGAATTAAAATTTGTTTCAATTTACTGCATGAGTGAAAATTTTTCAGTTACAGCCAGAGTTTTCCACCCATGTCACAGAGGGCTTAAAATGTTTCAATCCAGCAAAAAAAAAGTTGATTTTAGATCTTTTCAACATCTTGTGGAATTAAAACTTTATTTATTTTGTTCCCAAGAAATTAAAAACGCAACACACGTTGAGACTTTTCCAACATCAAAGGTTCAGTTGCAATTTTCGATTTTTCTTGAAAATATCATCCTAGACCTCATTTCTGCGTTTGACACTTTCTTATTACTTCAAGGTTTTAGAAAAAAAAACCTCCGTTTTCGTGCAGCACATCATTCGAAGAGAACATCAGTGGCACCCCCCGAGTTCATCGTGCACAACAAAAAAATCCTACTGATTTACAGTATAAAATCCTCATTCTGAAGTAGATATGTCGAATACTCATCAGAAAGTTTGGTCCACTGCAAGGACCAATCTATGGTTCGAGCTTCTTTCATATAGCACCAACAGACGAAAGTATCCTTTTCAAAGTTAATAAAAAACTTGAAAGGATTTTTAAGGGTGCATGAATACAGGAATGCGATGCTTTCCACAGAGATAAAACTTGGTACAAGAGCGGGAACAACTGAAATACCCCTGGCTACGACAGTGGCACACGTCCGGTATTGCATTAGTTTCTTTCTGTTGATTTCAAGGAACACATGAATCAAGTGAACACAATAATACAAAAAAACTAAATCATTTCTCACCAGATTTGAATAAAACTGAAATCATCAACCACATTCTACTTTTAAGAAGCTGATTTGTATCCACTTTTCTTCTGATTTAATATCTTCCTACCAAATCTACGTCACAATATTGTAGTTTGCCATTATGAATATAATGAAAAATTAAAACAATTGATGGATGCAACTGAATGACTCCGTAATCTAAGTTGAAAGGTTATTCTAAATTTAAAATCATCAGGAAGAAGATGTCACATTTGTTTATCTCATGATCAATTTTCTCGTACAACCAACGATCACTGCACCCAAATGCTGACGTTTTTGGACCCATTAGCATGCAAAAAAGAGATCAATTGAAACTCACCAAGACGTTAAGACCGGATGCGGCCTTTCCTTCGCCGTGACTTGCTATCAGAGCAGCAATGGCTTTCGTCACGCCTAAGCCAGAATTGGCAGCCAGTGTTCTGGGGAATGCCTCCAATGATGCTGCAAATTTATGTATCGCGTATTGTTCCAGCCCGTGACAGGTGTTCGCATACTTGGCAATCTGACAGGACAATTCCATTTCCACAGCACCGGCTCCAGGAACTAGTCGTCCATCCTACCATAAAATCCCATTTCAACTTTACATGAACCGAATTCAATATTCAAATTGAACAAATCAATGGAGAGTTATTCAAAAAATGTCGAAGACTCATCAGTGAGTTTGGTCCACTCATAGGGACCAGTCCATGGTTCGAGCTTCATTAATATAGCACACAAAATAAATTGTTCCGGATTAAGGCAAAGAAGCCTAAAACGGAATTAAGAACGTGCATTCCTCTGCATGAATTCAAAATCGCAAAACTGCAATCGCTTGAAAACAATAAAAATTCTTACCCTTGCCAGCACTTTGAAATTGTTGATAGCATCGTCAATCGCTCGCTCAACATCATCCATCATGTTATCAGTAGAGCCTCGGATAACAATCGTCGACAAACGCGCTTCCTGGCTATCCATCCTGAATACCACTGCAAATAAAAATTTGAAAATCATAAATATGCGCTGAGATTTGAATGATATGAAAAAAATCGACGAGTCCACGATGACCAACCGAAACATTTTCGCCACCTACCTGCTTCCCCATGCCGCGTTTAAAAATCGAAAGTTCGTCCACATGATAAGATTTATGCTGAACAAATGTCATCAAAATATTCAACGATGAGCTCAATGAATTTAGAACATTTAAAAATAAATTTATCACTGTAAAGTTTGAAAACTCACCAATAGAAGATTCTCCCAACTCGTCGACATACACGTGATCGCAAAATCCAGCTTCTTCGGGGGTCGGAGCAACCATCTTTGGCAATGCGATAGCTCCAACCGATTTCGCGAGTCGGCGCAAGTCAAACTTGGATTGCAAACGCACTCCCATAATCTCATACTTGTTCAAATAGTGCAAAGCCATATCTGCGATTTTCCCTCCACTGACAATGACTTTCACTCCAGCATCTGCGATTGCTTTGATCTGAGTTTCGAGCAAAGATTCTTCGCCACGGCTGAACGTCTTCAACTCGGCGGCAGATTTGATCAGCACGGTTCCCTGAAATGAAAAAAAAAAAAGATTAGTACACGCATCCACTGTTGTAAAAGGAATTTTAAACCTTCGTCTCAGTCGCAGCAGAATCGACAGCACAGGTGTACACCGCAACTTTCGCCTTTTCAGCTTTCGTGATGGTCGTCTCAACCCCTCGTTTGAACACCATTCCTTGCAGAACCTGGCTGCCATACAGACCTCCGCCCTGTCGATGTAAAGAACCGTAGGTAATGATGGACAAACCGAAATTATAAAAATAACGCACCAAAATTTTGCAAACACGGACGTTGTCCACGTTGAAGCCACTGTTCTTGTCGTCAACCACGGAAACTAAGGAAAAAATGAAATGAAATCTCGAACAGCAAAGAGGGTCGAAGATAAAACATTTACCGCAAGCTTTGCTGACTAAATCCGCTAAGAAATCCTCGTTGCCATTTTGTTTGCTCGAAAGAGAGGCTCTTATAGCACGTTTGACTTTTTCGAGGTCTTTTACGTTCTCCACCTTCTCGACTTCCAAACTCGGCAGAATATCTAAGCATTTCTTCAGCGCCAATTCATATCCTTTCGCTACTTCAACCGGTTTCAATCCCTAAAATGAAGCAGCTTTCCAGCACAGGTCTTTTGTGCTCACATTGAATTGAGTCTTACCTTTCGAACGAGATCTTCCGCATTCGACAGAAGTGCACCAGCTAAAATAACAACGAAATTGGTTCCATCGCCGACCTCTTGTTCCTGCATAGTGGACGCTTGTACGATCATTTTAGCGGCGGGATGATTCACCTCCAATTCGCGAACAATCGTTCCACAATCGGAGGTTAAGAAAAGCTTTCCGAAATGATTGATTATAATTTTGTTCATTCCATTCGGGCCGTATGCTGTTTTGACAGTATTAGTGAACTCCTTGCAAGCTTCGATGTTCCGAATGACGGCTTCCTCGATTCCGGCGAAAAACTGGTGTGGAAAATGATGGGCGAAAACAATGAAGTCTAGATCTCCGGTTATAATACAGAATGGAGCTCACCTTAGAACCTTCCTTCAGCATAGAAGCAAATCCTGGACCTTTCGGAACGTGCATTGCCATCGCTACCGGCGATTTGTGTTTCTACTCGAGATCAAAACCACAAGAACAGCACAGACGTATTCACCAACACGCAGCTCTGTAAAAATTACATACAATACTCGTGACAGAATGAAACGAGCGATATTCGAATAATCTCGAAAAACTCCACTCATAAATCACAGGAAATATTCTCGCACCACCTGGAACCAGGACTCAATTGCGTGAACAAAAGACCTAAGCGGTGGCAGAACTTGGGATACTCCTCTCTACTTGTATATACTTGCGGTTGGGTGAATTGGACACGTTACTTGTCTACCACGAATGGAAGTTGAACAGAACATTTCTCAAGGGATTTTACTCACGTGATAATCAGTACTGTACAATTTTTATGGACAATAATGGGAACCACGAAGCATCCAAGATTACATCAAACAAACGACATTCCTCTGCTAATCGCTGCTTTTCAGCATAAGTCATCAAATTTCCTATTTAGCCGTCCTCGCCTTCAGCATACCACCTCAAGTCCTAAACGAAATTCTGCGGGAGAGAGCATGGTACTGTGAGTCATCAATAGTGCCATGTGCCAATTAATATTACATAAGTCCTAGAAGTGGGTCGCAGTTCATAAGGTTCAATTAACAGTACTGTACAGTATACTGGTACAGTATTTATAATAGCAAGGCTTATCGGTTTACGCAGCATAGGGAGATCAGCTCATGCGTTCCAGCAAAATGATATAAAAACACGCAAGCTCAGGTAGAAAAGTTTTTTACTCCTCATTTCCCCACAATAGCACACTAGATCAATACAAACAAAACATTGACCAAAAAAGCTTCAAATATCCTTAAAATCCAATGCAAATGGTGGATCATCATCAGAAGGTTGAATACAGTAATAGCAGCACAATGATTATTGCACCCTTTTGCGTGGGCAGCAACGCGCAACAAGCAATGATATCAAATTGTTCCCGCTCATTTTGGAAGGCGAAGAAAACTATGTTTGAGCACAGAAGAGAAAATACTCGCGAGTAGCTTTGATCACCGCGTCGTTCAACGGACCATGCACCTTTGGACCGATTTTCGATGCTTGTTCAACTCAATAAGATTAAGACACTCAAAAAGGGACATTTTTCGTTCATCGATCATCACGGAATACACTCATTTTGCGAACCGACGAATCCTTCTCCAATCGCACCAAAACGCAAAACTGATAAAAATCACGACTTCGTTGGAAAATTTACCTGCCTCACTGGAAAATAAGACAAAAACTAAACTCGGTTACCCCCACAGCACAAAATAAAATCGAATTTCTTGGGAGCAAACTTTGGCATCGAAATTAAACCTCTCATCTAGCAAACCAGGTTCTTTCGCAGATTAACTCATGGATCACGTGTTTTTTTCTTCTTCAAAATTCAGCATAAAAATGGTTCTGACTTCCTGTTAGGCACATTTAGATGAGGTAAACTGACTAATATTAGTTTCGGTCAGCAGCACTCATCAGAACCCGTCAGTTAATCTGCGAAAATACCGAACATTGAATGCCACGCGCGGATTACAAGTCTGTCGTTGGCTCGTCCGAATACTTGTGAGCCAACAACGGATTGTGCATCTTTTCAAACGCGGCATAAATATTCTGTTTGTACGTGTGACTCGTGTTCAAGTTGTTGGACGTCGTCCCAGCGATGGAATAGCCTCCTTGGCTCGTTCCGAACGTTCCTTTGCTTGTCATGCTTGACCTTCCCTTACTGCAAAATAGATAAGATATATTCCCTTTACATTTTATTTTGTGAACGCCAGAAAAAAATTTAGCGCAGCTCCGGCACGCAATCTTCATAGAAAAAAGGGTTCTGCATGGTACGTGAAATATACCGAAGTTACTCAATGGTTTTCATTCGGGGAGCCTTTTTTAGTGTTGTAATAGATTCTTTCGCCGGAGCTCCTATGGTGGAATAAGATTCTGTGACTGACCCCCTTACGCTGGCCAACATACGGCCCGCTGGCCGTAATCGTCCCCATAAGTTGCAAGTTGGCAGCCGACAAGATTCAAAATAAATATTGAAAGATGAATTCAAGAATTTCGAAATTTTGCTCCACCCTGCTAAAATACTATAAATCTACATACGGTAAATATGTCTTTGGGCGGCACTTCAGATCTATCCTGTGTCATAAAAACATATTTTTGGGCTCACGAACTTTTGATGATCTGGTTTAATTATAACTTGTACAGTGAAGTTGAAAAAATGTCACCGACTCTTCAAGTTTGAAATGCTGAACATCGCAAGATAAGGAAATGTAATTCTCGTTTTGAATCTCCGTTCTATATGAAAGTGCGAGGATCTTTAGAACAATACAGAAAAGAAACCTAGATTTCTCACAGGTCTGCGAAGGTTTTTGAAAACAATTCCAAAACAAACCTGGAAAATGCCCCATCATGATACGGCTCAGGGTTGTAAATGGTCGACATTTCCTCCATGACAGCAAGGACTGCATTGTCGTCCAAGGAATCCTCTCCTCCACCTGCGCCACCCTGAGGATACGTGCTGCTCAAACAAATTAAAAAAAAATACATAGAAATTAAAAAAATACTCTTCAGGTCGATTACGATCGTTAAAAACACATGCCTCTGACTCGTATCCTCTTCAGTATGACTCTTGTACCAGTCGTTGTCATAGGAAGTCATCCACACCGGGTTGCTGCCCTCCACTGAATGTACGTTAGTATTCGGGACAACCTGATGTGGAGTCGGTCGATTCAGCCCTGAATCATTCGAACCTGCGCGAAAACAAAAAGATAACCATAAACCACTCAACAACAGGAAAATAAAAACAAATTTCCTTTTGTAAGAAAAATAAAATAGAGAAGAACACTCATAAGCCGAGGTTTACACACGAAGCTTCATGCACTCTCTAAATTCTAGAACGTCCTGAAACTTGATAATATAACCACCATGTTCGGCAGCTATTATTTTATTATTTCGGCGTCATTGTTGATGGAATTATCAGAAACGCGTACGGAAAGCGCTCATGACGCCGGAAAATTTTCGAATGGTTTGAAAATGCAATTCGAAAACTGTTCAGAAAAAATACGGTTCCGATGCAGAAACAGATTGATATACGGATACATTTTATTAAATTGAAGCCTTTTTCTTTTCCAACTGAAGTAATCCTTGCATAAACAAGAACATTTATATTATGATACCTTGTCCGAGGGATGCACACGACGAGCCCGATTGAATTGCTTCACCGCTTGATTTCACACCGAACAGCCGATTAGTGCAGCAACCCAGCGAAAAGCGAGTGCATTTTGAGAAGCAAGAAAGAAGAAAAAGAAAGACCACACCGATAGCACCCGGGTCACGAAAACGCACCAGAGAATTCCGAGAAGCATGCGCATCATCGAAATGATTTTCAATATCATTAAATCCAACCAAAATTGTTATCACACATCGTATTAATAATCAAACATTCAGCGGTGTGAATCGCAGAAATAAACTTAGAAAGGTTAGCAACAACAATCCACCACAGAAAGCATAATTATAAAGTATCTAGAGCTGAAACTTGGGGGATGGTCGGTTCTCAAGTTTCTTCAGCCTCACCTTTTTTCCAAATTCATGTTAAAAAAGTAGATAAGACACGGAATTGATATTTAAGATAATGCCCGGGTAATGAGTTAACCACAACACTCGTTTGTTTCGTGAATTTACAGACAGACCAAATGTTACATCACTATAGCGATAGTGTTTCAGATCTGTTCCAGCAAGGAAATCTGCTTCCCGTACGATCTTGGCAATTTTTTGCCAGCAATATTAAATGAGAACATTGCCGTGAAAATGATGCGTGGAGAGCAAGAGTTCTATCCTCCGCGTGTAAGAAACAAAAACAAAAAACAGAAGCATATCCGAAACACATCAGAACCAAGACTATACAAGCTATAATTTGAAGTTTCGTTACATAGATCACACGATGATCTCGCGGATTCCGACTCAGAAACTCGGCCATAAAAATACAGTGGCTCACTTTGTGAGTACCAAAATAAAATAAAAAAACACCCCTTGAAGGTCTCATTAATTCTATCCGCACATAACTATCGCATGATCTCGTGAATAGTGAACCCATTATATTCACGTGAATAGTCACATGAGAAAGTGAGCCCATTTTCATGAGTGAATGACGTATACTCGACAGAAACGAAGTAATTTCTCCTCACACCACTCAAAAGAAAACGATATACAGTATCTGAAAATAATTACCGAAAGCAGTCGCAGTCGCAGCCTTCAGCTGACGCTTGAATCGCGTCCTCTGATGAAGACATAATCCGATGACCAATGCTAAGAGAACAGCCAATATGACAGTAGCGCCCCCTAGATAGACCACCAGCAACTGTTCCCCTGGACCAGCTTCCAAAACTGCTTGAGGTTTCGAGGCTGCTGAATCTATGACGTTGTAATCCTAAAAAAATATGTAGTAATGAGTTACTCTCAATTTGAAGAGAATTAAAGTTTCTTGTCACTTTTTATCATTACATTTTTCATAAGTCTGTATAGAAGCTGAGCAATAGAGTAAGAAAACAAACAAAAGCAAATTTATAGAAGTTTGATGAGTCACAGAGGTTTGAGGAAGAAATGCTATTTATTTAGGGAGATCTAGACAGGAAGACTCTACACTATTGACATTGATATTGTCCACAACAACTTTCTCTGTATAACAAATCATTTATTTTGGTTCCAAAGGATTCTCTCCCCATGTCATAGGGATTCTCAAGGATGAAATTTTCTCTATATTACCAAGTTTTTCCTGGTCCCTTGAATACATAATTGTAGAGAGAGTCTATAACTCTATACCTTTACTAATTTATTCTCCAGGTAATCAAAACAGGACTAAGCAAAAATCTGAAAAAATTGAGATTTGATTTAGTAAGGCCCAACTGTACTTCTCCATAATACTTTTCTGGAGACTGATTTTTGCATCATTCTCACATTATTTGCACATTTTTTGATTTATTCCTAATGAACACGCACACAGAAAATAAACTGAAACAACAACAAAAACAAACTGTACAGCAGTATTTCACTCTGAAAATCTTTATACAGTACTTGTACAATATGAGGTATTTAAAAGACCCTGTAACGAGTATATCTTGTAGAGCCCAAAATTGATACAGCTGTCATTAGTTTTTTTGCTGTAGAACTTCAACAGCTAGAAAAACTTACTTTGAACAGTTGATCCAATCGTTCAACGTTGCTGTCGATCAAATTCAACACCCGGTCAACTGGCAAAATCGAATGATCCGTTCTATTCACCAAATGAACATATAAATCCGTCTTGGTTCTGTCCACTAATCCGCCTCTTCCTTCGTGAACACGGATCTCATCCACGTTGACAATCGAGCTCGTCACATTGCTCAACGCTCTGCGCAACATTGGAAAAATGAAAATAAAAATTAAGAGTGCTTTTTCACTAATTATACTTTTGAAAAAACATGGAACTTACTCTTGGAAAACCTCCAACCGACCGCGGAGTTCTCCGGGAGTCAGACGCAGCAAAAACCGCACTCTTTGGTCCTCTCGCAATAGATAAATGAATACTCTGCTCTTATCCCACAGACCTCCAGTGTCATTCACAGTCACCTGCAAATTATTTCATAATAATCCAGGGTTGAAAATATTTCGAAAAGTTTAAGAAAGTGCATTAAATTCCGCGAACACCGTAACCATCACACGCAATACATGAAATTTAAACATAAAATTTGGATAAAAGGAATCCCTGAGTAAGACACACACCTCATTTTTGAGCCTAAGGACTGAGATACAGTACTGTATTTTGAAAAAACACAACTTAAATTTCGATCTGATTAAAAAAAATCATGCTGCATTTTCAATATTGAGATTATTGGTGAAAATTAGCTCGTACTGTAATATCAAAATTTTTTATAACATGGTTCCTACGGAGAAACTGCCAGGACCAAGAAAAAAAAGTCGTTATAACAAAAATTTCGCCGTAAAAAGATTCCTCGTGACGGAATTTTACTGTATACTGTATCTGATGCATATACGAACCTCGAAATCAAAGTAACCCTTCATTCCGGGCTGCGGGTCGAAATTCAGCTGCAAAACCCCGTTTTTCTCGTCCACCAGAAAAGGGGGTCCCCGGAGACTCTCCAACCCCTCACTGAGTGTCTCACGGATCGGCGGCACGATAGCAAACGTGAGTTCCGCATTCTGTCCGTAATCCGGATCCACTGCAGTCAGCTCGAGAAACTCCAGGCCGAAATCCGCGTCAGTGGAAACACCACCGGTGAAAATACGCTTGATGAACCGAGGCGCGTTGTCGTTGATGTCGTTGACGAAAACGGTGACGTTCAAGAGGGACGGATCGGTTTGATCGTAGAAGCTGATGTTTCCTGGCGGGACTGAGCAGGAATCCGTGGCTCGGATTATCAGGGTGTGGACGTCTCTTTCTTCCCGATCCAGTTCTTTTATCGCCTGATGATGAAAAAATAGCGGGAGAAAATCAATAATTGTACTGTACCCTGATAAAAGTTTTTCCAGCAAAAATATAAAATGACCACGATAAGGACAGATTTCCTCCTGTTTTTCTGCCTTCCGTCGAGATGCGATAGGATCAAATATGATAAATGTGACAGGATCATATGCGGCATATTATAAAATACGAGACGTGCCTCACTTTTTTGTGCCGCTGAAAAGCGAAAAATACACAAACAAATGTAACTCAGTTTATTCGTAATACTTCAGAAGAGATAGATTATTTTTTCAGAGGAGCCTTTTGTTCAGTACTGTGCCACATTACATGTTTATTGAAGCGACATCTATGCGTCAGCAAAAGAAAACGCCATCAGCGTGATTTACCACCACTATATATTCGGCAATCGGCAGTAGCAAAAATTCATCACGGGGATAACTCTGTCTTCAAACTTTCAGAAATCCGCTTCGTGTACATTCCTACCTTTCAATAATTGATAAAAAAAAAAAAGAAACCTCACCATCACAGTTCTGGAAGTTGGATCGATGGTGAAAAACCCTCCTTGGTTCCCGCCGACGATGAAGTAGCACAATATTCTTTGATCCTCCGTTTCATCGTAATCAAAGTCATCGTCGTCTTCATCTACTGCTTCAATCACCAGGCGTCGCTCTTTTCCCGGTGGCATGTGTTCTAAAGAAATGGAAATCGAATCAAGATTGGCAAGGATTAAATCACTGCATTCAAGTGGCAACCATACTTCAAAATACTGTATGATATTTCGTTTTTCATACCTCCAACGAGGTGAAATTGAAAGCGAAGAAAATTTCAGCGGGAGTCCAATACTCTTACTTTAAAATATACCAGAAAAATTATTGCAATCGCCAATAATTCATTTTCAGTATTAAAATTGTATTTATTGTTGCCTAAAAGTGCAGAATTCTGAAAATTAAAACGGCTTCTCAGCAATATATTACACTACAATATATTATTGTAAAGAAAAACTTCGAACAGAGTCTCACTTCAATTTAATTGGAAATTCACTTAACCGTGGCTGGAAATTTAATATTGTTGTGATCAAGACATAAATTCGATTAAAGAACAAACCATTTTCTTTGGAATTCTACGATAATCTATTATTATTCAGCAGCAGTTCGGTTTATTATGTACAGCACCTAAACCTATCCCTCTAAGATATTGAAAAATACTTAATGATATATGTTAATGGCTCACCCCTTTTTAGAGGTGCAACAATTAAATTCAGGAACCTAGAATTTCAGAATGCGAATCCAAATTTTTTCGCGAATAATAATTGTAAATAAATCTGCATTTCACATTCGAGTAACATGGTGAATCGACGTGAAAATTCTTAGGACAAGGAAAATAATGCAAAAAATAAAAAATAAAAACGTACCGGTAAAATTCATCCGCTGTTTATTTGGGGTGAATCTGGGTTTCATGTCGTCAACGTTCTTCACATAAACAGACAAATCCAGGTCTGAGGAAAGCGCTGTTGGTAAACCCATGTCCCGAGCTTCGACTCTGAGCTGTTCCACAAAAGGATAAAATAAAAATTACCCTTGATTAAAAAAAATTCCAAGTACAGAAAACGAGTACAATCAACCCTCTTCAAGTGGAACTAAAAGGGACCAGCAAAACATCGAGTTAGGGAGGTTTCCTGTTAAAGAAACAAGCCTTTTTTGTTGGGGCAAAGAAAGAAGAACTGCAGAAAATTGTATATAATCCCTATTAATATGGGCATTAAATTACTTCTTAAATGAGTTGACAGGATGGTGAACTTTGGAACAAGGGTTCATTTGTCCAATTATTCTTTCACTTCCTTTCAAAACACATCAATAAGTTACATATTTGTTGCTTTTCTCTTTCCTGCCTAAGTAAAATAACAGCCAAAATATCTCAGAAAATTTGAGTTATGGAGATTTGAGGGTGCTTTCTTAACTGGCTCGAACAAATACAAATCCTTGATCTTCAATAAATTGCTAACAAGACAATTTCCTTTTGTCCTATATAGGTAGAAAATGTTTGACCAAATTAAAGATCTATCAGTCTCAAAGGTTTAAATCATTTTCCATGTGCTTTCAAAGAGTACAAAAAATTCTTCTTAGAAGATGTTTGACAGAATGTATTTTATTATCCTTTTCACACAGAGATATAATGTATTCCAGAGCAGAGCAACACAGACAAGGTGTTATGGCAAAGTCCAGTGATAGAAGCTTGTGAGCCTACATGCAAGTCATCACCTGAATTTATAATCTTGGATGAGCAAGGTTGTGGAATGCACTTGGCAACTGATGAAAATTGGTGTCAACATACTTTGTTGCACTTCAAACAAAGGAATTGGAATGATTTAGAAAGGTATTAAAGGTAGCAAGAGCAGTATATGCAAAGTGGAGTTGCGCATAGCACCCAACAAGGCGTAACAAAATGTAAAATATTGAGGGAACTCAGAAGTGCTGTCCATGTACAGTAATCATAACAATGACTTACAGGTGGGAAAGCCTTTGAGTTGGGTAGGTTTTCAATGTATTGTTTCTAATCAAATTCAGACAGGGACTTATTGAAATTTTGACACAGGGAGGTTCCAGTTACTATCGAGGTTCAACATGCTGTATGTAAACGAAGCCAACCTGGTAAAATTTTTGCCGCTCTCGATCCAGAGGTTGAGTGAGTGTGATGAAACCCGAGATGGGATCAATAGCAAACGCTTTCCAATGGTTCACTGGGTCCCTGCGAAGACCAAAACGAACCTGTCCATTCCGTCCGATGTCGTTGTCTGTCGCTGTCACCTTGGCAACCACTGTTCCCACAGTAGCATTCTATGGATTAAATAGAAAACATCGGTTTATTTTTTTTGGAATTTTGAAGAAACCGACTTGAAAACTTTCAAGAAGTGAACTTCTCCATCAAATCAAATTTGAAGACACTTACACAAGTTTTGTCCATATACAGGGCGGAATTTAAAAAATGAACCGATTTTTTACCTACATCCAGTAAGATGGACATCAAAGCATAACTGATGTTTCAGCGTTTACATTAGACTTTTTCAGTTTTGTAAGAATTTATTTCTCACATAAAAGCGACGACTCAGCAGTGAAATAAAGATGATGAACTTTTGCAGGTATAGAACATGGATGTTCTATATATACCTGCAGGAAGATGCCTATACTGCAATCTCTTACTTGTGAAGAGCATATAACGAAGAAAATAATTTGCATGTTTTTTTCTCTGGAACGTGTCTTCTCTGAAAAATGCGAGCTATACGCGGTATACTATACATTCTAGTACAATATAGAGGCAAAAGAGTATGCTAGAATATGAAGAAAAAATATCTATCATCATCTGGAACATCTTGATTGTATTTAATTAGTTTCTGACGTCGCAGGCAAATGAAACGATGCCTGCGTCGCCGTAAATATACAGCACTTATTTCGAAAAATAGCCGTAATGTGCCCTAAAATTCCATCAACTATAGCATTACAGGCTTAAAAAAAGTACGGTGTTTCAAAGCTTGAGTGAAAAACAATGTGGACTTGGACTGAAATCTACGAACACTGAAGAAATATATAGAACGCACGATTTATGAAGGCAGCTTCTCGACTAAAAACCAAAATCATGGAAAAAATGCGGGCTCGTCCGGGATTTGAACCCGGGACCTCTCGCACCCTAAGCGAGAATCATACCCCTAGACCAACGAGCCAAGCTTGAAAGAATCCGTTGCTAGCACAATATTTCAATTTATCTACCACCTGCTGCTCACATATTCAGCTGCGCAAACGCTCCACACAGCTAATCTCATGTTAACTTGCTGGTCACGGACATTTCGTAAGAGAATCGCCACTGGCGAAGGCGTTGCCTCTACAGCATAATAATCGCGCCGAAAATGTAACACAAAGAATGTAATGGGAACAAACCATAATCACGCCAATTGAAAAATATATGAGGGAACTCCAGTTATACAGTAATTACAGCAAAGCTGCCAGGAAAATTTAAAAAGCAGCCGTTTCTGCACACGATTACAACGTCCGCGAACTATCAGTATGGAGATGACCATTTGCTACTTGGAAAATATAATTTTGACCTAAATTGATTCTGACAACTCTGAATTAAGCTGATTTAAATCTTTTCCTGTTTTAAAAGTAAAATCATCATCTGCCAATTTATGTTTAAGAGGAGCTTTAATTCTTTTAGATGCATTTAAAAAAAAAAGTTGCTGACTAAGATTCAAATTTCCCCCTCCCCTTCCACCTCGTGATTCGCCTAAATGACACACTCCCATGAATGTTACGAATTTTTTGGAACACAGAGTATACAGTTTATACGAGTGTGTATACAGTATAACCACGTATATCACAGGGCAGCCTGATTTTATTTCATTTTTTGTTCCTAATTTTGGCAAAAATTTCAGAAGCTGCAATTCTTTTAAATACCTTTTTCGTAAAAAGCTGCTGGAAAAGATTCAAAATTTAAATCCACGCGATTTGCCTCTATGACACACACTTATAAATAATGTCATGAGATTTTTGGAAAGTGTGTTTACGCACCTATCTCACAGCGCACCCTGTTTTTTCTTTTCTTTTTCGCTCCTCATTTTGGCCAAAATATTTGCGCTATGTAATTATCGAGCATAGACAAAATGTAATGGTTCTATAAATGCGGAAAATTACACGATCTATATGGTCATAAATCAACTAACCTCAGGAATGCGGAATGTGCTGTTATTCGGCGGTGAAAGAAACACTGGCTCGTGATCATTAAAGTCCAGCACGCAGATTTCCATCACGGTCGAAGTGTAAAGCGGGGGAAAGCCGCGGTCTGTTGCTCGGATTGTCAAATTGTAATTGCCAAACCTGCCCACAAGCGGCCTGGTGGTCAACACTCTTCCGGACTGGAAATCCGTATTCTCCACATGAAAGAAACCTTTGTCGAAAAAAAAACAAACAAACCCACAAGATGCACATGACTCGCAAAATTGTCACACAAAAAACCCCCGTAATTTTCTTTCCAAAATGTAAACCCCCTATTCAACGATCACATTTAGAATATTTTCAATAACTCACCCTCCTCATCCCCGGCCTCGATGGAAAATGTGACCCATCCATTGGGAGTGCTTATATCATCAGCATCCCGGACGCTGACTAGACCAACAGTATCTCCTGGTGGATGGAACTCTGTGATGGTAGAACATGCTTCACTAGTGCCATCACCACTTCTGCTATTCGGAGATGGCTGCACGAAAATCGGGGGTTCATCATTCACATCCAGCACTTCAACCCTGCAAAAAAAAAAGCGGAAGAAAAATGAGACCCCAAAATATTGATTTAGAATACAGGGACACAACAATTCTCTCTGCATTGTAAAAACGATTTTTTTAGGGGTGTTCCCCAACCCATGGTCAGAAGAAGTTTTTTGCATGTGTTGCAGGAAATTTTCTTCAGCATAATAAATTTATTAAAAGTAGCAATGAAGTCTATAATCTTTATCTGAAATTCAGGAAAGACAATGGCAGTTAAAATTATCCAATGGAAAATAAGTTGGCTTGTCTCATAATAACGCTTCACACAAATTTTTACCTGCTGAAATACATTATTTTAAATTTCTCCATTCTGAGAAACCATTCTTCAAGCCCACCTTTCTAATTTTTTGAAGACATCCCACCAATCTACTTCATTAGTTCTTAACTTAATCTTTTTGAAGACCTGCCATAAAGTCTTTCGAATAACAAAACTTTTTTGAGTCTGCAAACATTTTAGGAAATTTTGCCAGCCACCAAGAAATTTTTTCGGAAATTTGCCGGTAAGCAGGCCCAACAAAGGTATAGGAGAACACTGTCATGGAGGTTTTCTACAATGAAATCCTCTCTACAACGAATATTTTGCTGGTCCCTTGACTTTTGTCGTGAAGAAGAGTCCCCGTGTACAATATTTGATCCAGGCTTCGAGGAATAAATCAAGCGCTTGTCTGAAAAGATTAAGGTTAGGATAGGCCAAGTTATTCAAGAGCCGCGCTGCGTTAAAAAAGTACAGTATTAGATGATTTAATAAAAAAATATGCTCATGCTCAATAACGTCGAAATTATTACCATCAGAGAAAAATTCCAACGCGACTTATCAGCAATTATAGGCAATGATGGGTAATGAGAATAACTAACCCGATTTGCTTGAAGGTGTTTCGCGACTCGCCAGTTGAGTAGCCAAGCTGGAAATTATCCCACGCTTCAACCACCAAGGTGTAAAAATTCTTCACTTCCCTGTCCAGTCTTCCAGAAACAGTTATCGCTCCGGACACTGGATCGATCCGAAATTTTCCCTGCAAAATAAAAAAAAGAAACCAGCATGGAAAGTGTTTCACAATCCCAAACATTATTCATTTGCTGCGGTATAGTGAGAGAGTGAACCACACCGTAGTTCATCGACCTTCTCATTTTTACTGAAGCGCGAAGATAGAGAATTGTCATTTTTACGATTCAAAAAGTCACACGAAGTTGCGTTTTCACATCAAAAACTCACCTCAGCACTTTGACGATCCAACAAGTAGGTAATCCGGCCATTTTCTCCTTCATCCGCATCCACGGCTTCAAGAACCATAATTTGCGATCCTGCGGCAAAAATAAATCCGTATATAAATACTGTACTTATAAAAATTAACGAAAAAAGCGCTTTTTTATTTCAAATCGAAATGGAGGAATGCGCATCAAATGTACTGTATACAGTATATACACGTACGGTGGTACTGCAGCTTTTAAATCAAACATACTCGTTGCACGATTCATTCTTTATATGAATCACATTTACTGTAGAACGAAAAATTGTCTCCTTTGTACGAAGGAAAAATGTTTTCTTTTTACAAATTTTATTTGTAGTGTCAACAAAATGCTTACACGGCAAGGTGTTCATACTGCAGGGTATCACTCTACATAACTTGACACAGAAAAGATGTTGATTTCCAGGGGAATCGGGAACCGGTCATTTTCAATTTTATTTCCTGAATAATGCAACCTTCAGTACACAGGTATCAGGATTTTTCAGCATAAAACTTTGCTAAAATCCTATCCCCAAGAAAGACGCATCACATGTCATCCTTTGTGACAGAAAAACTGCGATATTAAAAAAATCGACACACAAGAATTAGAATTTTGACATGAATTTAAATTTATTAAAAAAATGTTGAAAATGTTAATTTCTTCCATTAAAAAAAAGCTGTTGAAATTGGTCCAATATTTCCCACTATGATTCCCTCAATTCCCACTATTGACACAACAAAGAGAAGAGCAGTAATAATAGTAACTTTATGTGTTTTCAAATAAATTGAGAGACTAATTGAGCAAATCTGAACCCCTGCCTCAAAGTTCAGCATCCTGAGTTGAGTAAATTTTTCGTTAATTTCCGGGTCTTATAGTGGTAAATTTTAAAGGACGTTGAGAAGGTATAAAGTGTGTTGTTTTTACGAACAAAGGGATTGAGCTTAAAAAACGACCAGGGATGACCTAATTCGACTTGGACAGGTTCGACTCTATATATTTTTAAGATTCCCAAAATCAACAAGACACGATTATATATTTTTTTCCTTCTCGGGAAACACGACGGTTATATCCTGTACTGTATATATGTATATATATGAACACGGAACACACGCTGACCAGGTTGAATGTCCTCGGAAACGGTGACGTTCGTGACGGCTCCCCGGAACACCGGGTTGTTGTCATTCTCATCCAGCACCTGCAACATGACCGTCACAATCGTGGACCGCGGCGGCGCAGGCAACAGGCAGCGGGCGTGTCTCTTTAACTCGGTGCGCTTGAGAAGGGCCAGCTAGAACGGGACCTGGTGGTCGACCGGGCAGAGGCCCAGGTCCATGTTGTTCAGGCACTACCTGGCTATAGCTGCCACACACACACAAACACAGACGGACATATGAACATAAAAGATTGTAAAAAAAATGCTGAGGAAACACGTTCTAAAAAAGGGGCCAAGGAAAAAAAAAAGACACGAAACCATCAGAAATGTCGTTTTGGCCTAGTCTCTTGTTGGACGGCTTTTTGTCGAAGCGCAAGAAAAAAAAGACAGGCGAGCCCTTATACTCGTGTCTACTATCTTTTAAGGTTACTTTGTGTAAAATTTTTTCTAAGCTCTCCTTTTTGACACAAAATCAGAAACGGCATTTTCCGGACCGAACAACCACCTGCCGAAAATCAGTTTCCCTTTTTTTGTTGAACCTCGATCATTGCGCGGGTCTGGTTAAAAGTGATTGAACAAACTTTTTCAGGAAGGACAAGCAGCACTTGAACATTTCCTTCCGCTCTCTCTAAAAAAATAATTTACTGTTTTTTTTAATAGTACTCAAGTGTTTTTGTTCAGATAATGAATCAACAATGAACGACGAGGGTCGCTCTACAAGTTCCGTACTTCCATTGTTGAAGTCTTGATGGTGCTTGTCTCGGGAGAATGGATGATCGTAATTTTTACGCCATTTTATGATTTGCTAGGCACTGTCTCAATTTTTGCTCAGTCAGCTTAAAGTAAATATCTGTATTTAATACGAAAAGTTTGGAAGTGGCCATCGTCAATGCGAGGAATCACTTGTCAGACTTATTTTTTTAAAGTTAATTTTCAAGAGGTCCAAAACGAGAAAAAATATTTCAAATAAAAAAATGGTCTTATATGAAACACTGTATGCCTGATCTGAAAGCCATGTTTCAATTACTATAATTACTAGTGCGCCAAGATCTTGAGCCTCGGCAATGGTTTTTTTAGCGATGGGTAATACGAAAGTATTCTTAAAATCCTAATTGTTAAGCAAGCATGCGTTTCACCAATTCAAGTTCGTAATTTAAGAAAAGCCTTTATATAAATTTTCGTCAATCAAATGATTCCCATAGATGGCTAAAAAGATTCTTATTCAAAACGTGGGTACGGTACTAAAAGAACATACGTTTAAATAAGGTACTTTTGAAACATCCCAATTATATTGTCTAACATTTCAAAAACAGCTGAAAAATACTGACCATCAATGGAGTAATGAATAGTCCGATTAGCATCTGCATCATCCGCAGCAACAGCCAAAATAAAGTGTCCTCTTTTCGAATTTTCTTGAACTGTTCCGAAGTAGACAGGCTTCCGGAAAATCGGCGCGTTGTCATTGATGTCACCAATAAGAACCTGCAATG